TTGAATGGCAATGAGCTATTTTTATATTATTAAAAAACAACAAAGAAAATGCTCTTAGAAAATATATTTGAGTTGTGATAACTCACCATGTGAAGCTATCCAGTGTCTCAGAACACAGAGTTCACTTAAATTTTTGCAAAAATACTGTCTTCTGGACCTGATATGCTTGTTACATACATGAGCTCATAACACTTGTGTGAAAGTAATTTATTTGCACAAGATCTGCACAAGATGAAAACAGTTAAAATTCCAGCATGGATGTGTGAGAAGCACTTGAGGCTCTATGCTAGCTGAGGAGCTTATGACAGTTGGTGTTTACTGGGGAAGGAAGTCAACCTTCTTTGGAGAGGTGGTCACTGGTAGATAGCTCATGTCCCAGTGATTTATCCATATCCTTGTACATATAGGCTCTACTAACTGAACTCAATGAATTTTATTAGAACAAAACAAAAAAGAGAGAAAGATCATGAAATTAGGAAGGGGGATATGTTGGGAGTATCTACAGGAAAATGAAGGAGAAGAGTTAGGAGTTAGTCTGACCAGGATACATTGTATATATGCATGAAAATTTAAAACAATATTTTAAATAAATTTGACAAAAAAGCACAAGGTGAACAACAGAGAAAACCTTACATGCACACAGATAGGTAAATTATTGGCTAAGCAACCATGAGTGTATTCATATTACAGAATGTATTCTAAACAAGTGACATCACATTGATAGTCATGATGTAGTGTTGAAACAGAAAAAGTCAATTATTTCCTTAAAATTACTTCCTGGACATGGAATTCTCAAGACTTTTTGGATTATATACCCAGTCAGACCTTTGTGGATGTACTTACGTGTATTTCCATTGGTGATGAGATCAAATGGTTCCTGGTTTCAGCTCTTTACCAGTTGGGTGTGATGAGAAAACACTAGTCTTTAGTTTTTAAAGGTTTCAAATTCCAAGCCTTCAACTTTATAATCAAAGTGGGAGAGTTTTTAGCTTTGGACTAAGTTTTTTTCCCTTAAGTGTTATGACCAATTACTTCTGCTTTTGCATCATCACGGAACACACCCTAACAATGTAGCTCCTTTGTACTGTGCAAGCTCTTTTCTGTTTGGTGTGTTCATCTCTTGTTTTGTCTGCCATGCTTTGCACCAATTCTATCATGTTCAATGATGAGCGTACCTCTGGGATACCATGGGTTTGGCTTAAGATCATTGCAATATGGCCGTCATTACAATGAGTGATTAGTGAGTCACACAAAAAGTTCAACGTCCCATGAATGTATATGCCTTAATTAAAATGTTTGATTGCTAAGGGTTCTAATCATTAGCTGACTTGTTGGATAAATGATCCAAGTAGGTTTGCTGATACACAGTTGTTGCCACCCTTTAATTTGTATACAAGCAAACAAGCTCATGGTCTGCAGAGTGCAGTGGAGAACAATATGATAAAATGAAGCATGCCTATTTTAAAGTGTGTAACAGGATTTTCCTATCTGTGAATGAAAAGCCATTATTTTTTAGGCTGTTTATCAAAGCAATTCTGGGATGAGGATTTTTGCCATGTGCTCTTCTGAAGTCGAATTAGTTTTTCAGTACTGAAAAACCATCTATTGGCATTTTGATTTCCTATGTTTTTGTAGAGCAATATGAGGAGAATTGATGTTGTATGGTTCTGCTTTGCTTTCCCAGAATTCACTGTAGTTATCCATTTGTTTAAATTGTCTTTGTTAGCTCTTGGTAAAGTGCAAGAATGCATCACATAACTCTTGGATGGTTGTTACTAAGTCCATTCTCAGATATTTCATATCAAGAATGCCTTTGTGAATGGACTTTTTATTACACTTAGTAATTTAGTTTGGTGTTTCAGGGAAAAAATTGATTTTCATGTATTTAATTTGTAACCTTGTCTACTTACTTATCCGTGTCTAATGCATTCTGTGTTCTATTTGCTTGTTTTGACTTATATTAGTATATGACCAGTCTTCAAACAATGATATGGGATTCCTTCCTTCTTAATATGTGCAGCTCATTTTTCTTATTGGATTTCCTGGAACTTTTCAAATAATGGTAAATAACAATGATGAGAGCAGGATATAATTTAGGCCATAGCTTTAATAAGGGCAATGTTACAGCTCTTGGTTTTATGTATTATTTGCTTTATCATTGATAACAATGAAGACTGTTCTAATGTGCATGGGCTAAGTTACACACACACACACACACACACACACACACACACACACACACACACACCTCCATACAATCCATGCCCTAAAGAGAGAAACAGAGAAATGGAGAGAAAACATTATTTTGGAAGCTAAATAAGCTATACATCACTTTATTTCCATTCTACATAGAAGGAAACTAAAGCATTAGAATGTCAAATGACTTCCTTCAAACCATACAGATAGACATGGTAATATTGGGAGTGAAGCTCTCTGGGTGCAGGTACTACTTCAAAGTGTCATGCACAGTGCTCTCCGGAGGCTCACATACCACAAATTTCATCAGGAATGCATGTACCTGCCGTGAGTTTCTTCTTCCTTCTCTGTCTTTTAATTTCTTGTTGTGTGAAATATATTTTAGTGGCATTCCCAATGATACTACTATCCCATTAAAAAGATACTGTCTAGGTCACATTACATAAAATTTAAATATTATAGTTCTAAACAGTATTTCTTTAATTTGGGATTTTTAATATGCCTGCTTCTTTATTCTGTCATCTATCTATCTATCTATCTATCTATCTATCTATCTATCTATCTATCTATCTATCTATCTATCTCTCATCATCATCTGTCTATCATCTATCTATCTAACATCTATCTATCATCTCTAATTAGGCATCTATTTTATTTCTGCATTATGATAATCATTTGTTTTTAGCATCAGTCAAATAACAAATTTCTCTGAAGTGAAATTATCACTACTGGAAGAAAGATGGAGGCTCATAAGATTCAAGAAGTTCAGGGAGTTAGAAGATTCACAAGGCCTGTACAAGAGGCTGGATAAGCAGTGATGACTGCTGAGGAGAAGTGACAAGCTGCTCCAGAAGGATTGCTTGCAAGTTAGATGGGGAGATTAAGGGATGCAGCTTTATGTTTTATCACCAACGCTCAGATGGGCTTTCCAGTGTCACAGGTATCTGAACATAACCGATGCTCATTTCAGTAATGCCAATCAATTCACTGTTTCACCCAGCTATACATGGATGGAGCTGTGTCAATGCAATGGGCAGATATTGGGTAATTTCTCCCTCATACAACAGCATGTATGAACATTTTGAAAGAAATGGTAATTTTTGACCTCTATGAAAATCTGTACATCTTGCTTATTGGCTTTAGTATTTAGTAATGTGAACAGTTTTGGGTTGTTTATTTTGATTACTCTTATCCCTCCCAATATGTTTCATCCCATGTCCTCTTGTTAAGTGTATCTCATATATTTAGCAAGGGCCCTTGATCTTAGGTTTAGTTATTATTTGGAAAAGAGGCAGATACTCACTTCTTTATCTCATTTCTTTTCCTCTTGCTGACTTCTATTAGAGTAAAAGCCTGTCTGAATATAAACATAGCCAAGAACCTGAGGCTGGAGATGATATTGACAATAGAGAAGAACCTACTGCTGGCTTTCTCCTAAATTGATGTGATATCCAATTGCCTTCTACACATTTATCCTTATACCCACAGAGTAGCACAGCTCTCCTCATCACCAAAAAAGCATCTTTCTGTAGTGGATGGAGGTTGTTTCAGAGAACAACTAGTCCAATTGCAGAAAATAAGCAATGATGTTTAAATATCTAATCTCTCATGAGGCATCCATAACACAACCCCTACACCCAAGGCTCATGGAACATTCTGGAAGAGAGGGCTCACAACTATTGGCTGAGGAACTATAGGCAGTAAACGGCTGCAAAGGGAGTGGGAATCGGATTTCCTTAGGGATGATATATATGTGTGTGTGTGTATACATATACATACATACATACATACATACACATATACATACACACACATATAAAAACCTCACATGTGTGTGTCTGTCTTTGTACTTGTATATGCATGGATAGTAGATATCATATATAATGGTTATAGAAGAAGAGGACCCAGATTTTAGTAGGGAAGGAAGTATGAGACATAGGAGTTGTGAGGAAGAGAGAGGCAGATATGATAAAAAATGTACTGTACTTAAAAATGAAATTTTTTAAAAAAGAAAAAAATAAGTTAGGATAACATCACTCTTCCTTCATCTGTCCTAAATACTTACTCATCATTTTAACCACCTCTCTCTTAAAATATTGGATAAAGTCATGGGGTTGTTTTCTCTAGAATGAATTTTTATCCCTACACCAGTCTGTTAAGCCGTGTCTGCTTTTAACTTAGTAATTCCATGTTCCATCTCCATATTGCATTCTTTCCTAACTTCAAATACTCTTTCCATTCTTCTCACTTATTCTCAGTTCTATATGCTCTTGTTTCTCTGAGAACTTAAACAGGAAATTTTATAGCTACTTACTTTGATAGTAAATCTATTTCAATAGAAAACATTTGTTCTGCATGTTGAAAGTATTTGTTTTTATTTTAGTTGCACTATTTCTTACTAAAATACTATCTTCCCTATGTATATATTTATAGGGGTGTTCAATGATGCCCAGTTTTTATAAAATGAGAATTTTCTAGAGATCTGCAGTGGCCAACACTACTTCCTGTCTTGGGCTTTGTGGTAAAAGTTGAAGACCATTCATGGTTTGGGGATTGACTAGAGACTAGGAACAATCATGTGAAGCCAGACTACAAGCTAACAACATTAATCAATGAAAAGTAAAACTATAACATGTGAAGGGATAAAGTAGGGATATCCAATGGGCTTGGGGGTAGAGAAGCCAAGCCTTTATTTGTATTACTAGTCAGAATCCTCCTTCAATTAAGTTTAAATTCAAAATTCACAATAGAGCTCGTAAAGGACATTACTTAAAAATGTGATCTAACTTCCATCTCACCTCGGATAATGGCAACAGCTGAGGTACTGAATATTGGGAGAAAACTCTATGAGCGTAAGACAAAAAAAGTCTATAAATTGTTAGATAATCCAGGAAGAGTCCTCCTGCTGTCCAAGGACCAGATTACAGCAGGAAATGCAGCTAGAAAGAACCACCTGGAAGGCAAAGCCACAATCTCTATCAAGATTACCAGCTGTATTTTTCAGTTGTTAGAGGATGTCTGTATCAAAACCGCTTTCACCAAGAAATATGGGGAGACTGCTTTCATTGCATCCCAATATGAAATTATTCCAATTGAATGGGTGTGCCAAAGAATAGCAACTGGATCTTTTCGCAAAAGGAATCCTGGTGTAAAGGAGGGGTATAAATTTTACCCACCAAAGGGGGAGATGTTCTTCAAGGATGATGCCAATAATGACCCACAGTGGTCTGAAGAGCAGCTCATTGCTGCAAAGTTTTGCTTTGCTGAACTTGTTATAGACCAGACTGAAGTGGACATCATGAGTCATGCTGCACAAGCTATTTTTGAAATACTGGAGAAATGTTGGCTGCCCCAGAACTGTACACTGGTCCATATGAATATTGAATTTGGTGTTGATGTAACCACCAAAGAGATTGTTCTTGCTGATGTTATCGATAATCATTCCTGGAGACTCTGGCCATCAGGAGATTGGAGCCAGCAGAAAGACAAACAGTCTTACCGTGACCTCAAGGAGGTAACTCCAGAAGGACTCCAGATGGTAAAGAAAAACTTTGAGTGGGTTGCAGATCGAGTGCAGTTGCTTCTGAAGTCAGACAGTCAGTTCGGTGCAGGGTCGTAGTGCTGATGGGTTCAACTTCGGACCTTGGGCACTGTGAGAAAATTAAGAAGGCCTGTGGGAATTTTGGGATTCCGTGTGAACTTCGAGTAACATCTGCCCATAAAGGACCAGATGAAACTTTGAGGATTAAAGCAGAATATGAAGGGGATGGCATACCTACTCTATTTGTCGCAGTGGCAGGCAGAAGCAATGGTTTGGGCTCAGTGATGTCTGGTAATACTGCATATCCAGTTATCCGCTGTCCCCCCATCACACCAGACTGGGGTGTTCAGGATGTCTGGTCATCTCTTCGATTGCCCAGTGGTCTTGGCTGTTCAACTATACTTTCTCCAGAAGTATCTGCTCAGTTTGCTGCTCAGATATTTGGGTTAAACAACCATTTGGTGTGGGCCAAACTTAGAGCCAGCATAGTGAACACATAGATATCTTTAAAGCAAGCTGACAAGAAAATCAGAGAATGCAATTTGTAAAAGTAATTTTTAGGAGAAAAGTTACACATTCCTAGTTTGGATTAAAAAGAAAAGAATTCAAGCAAAATGGTTTCACATCAGAGAAAACAATTCAATTTACTAGTGAACAAATGATCCTAGGTGTATGGGTTGACAGATTGTCAATGATATTTATTACTGATATTCTCTAGCTCTGAATAGTGATGTATCCCTGTAACCTCATTACACCAGAGGCTGAGGCAGAAGATCTATATGTTGAGATCCTACTGAAAAAAAAAACTATAGTTAGTAAAATTGGTATGACACTATTAAATTATATACCACCTACTATACAGCCATTGTTGGGCAGTTATGTAACATTAGCAAGGAAATGTCATTGATGGAGCTGGAGTTGTGGCTCTCTTGCAAAGGAACTGAGTTGGTTAATTAAGTATGATTTCTAAATGCTAATAATGACTTTTTGTAAATCAGTTATTGCTACTTGAACTTTTGCAGTTCATGATTTGAAAATTAAAATATTTGTATTGTTTATGCTAACAATATATTCTTCTCACTGCAAAAAAAAAATGTGATCTATAGTAGCATTTTGTGGCTCATGTCCCTAAGTATGTAAGGCAGAAAAACACAATTTCTAACTCGAGAAGAAAGCATTGAAAGAAACTTACAAAAGATTTCTTCAAAGTTCAAAAGATAAGAACTTAGAATTTCAGTGATAATAAAACCACTGAGCAAAAATCCTACTTTAGCACTATTTAAAAGAAAAATGGAACTAATAAATAATGCCCAGGGTGATTGCATATGATTAGGTAAATCAACATAAAGTAAGAGTTTTAGAAACAATTTTTAATGTTTTAAAACAAAAAGATTCAATACAGTCAGAGCATTGGCAAGAAAATTCATTATGGCTGGAGAGAGAATCATTGAAATGGAGTATTTTTATCAAAATGTATCCAGAATTTATCATAATAAAGGGAGAAATGGAAAATTTGTTATTAAAGTTAAGTTATATGAAGGGCAGAGTAAAACAAATAACATAAACTTACTAGTCACTTAAAAAAATTCTTGTCAGAGAACAGTGGGGAAGGCAATGTTCAAAAAGCTAATGGGTGTTATTTTTCTAGAATTTTTGAAAGACTAGTTATAATGTCAATGAATTCCAAATGAAAGAAATGAAAATCTAAAATTTCTTAAGAATGGTAAGGATTAACAGAGTTCTCTTGAAATTTTGGTATCCAAACATATTCAAGATATAAATGTAAAACCTCTCTCTTCTAAATATCTGTTTTACTGGAAAATGATAGCAATAAAGTCTGGCAGGGTTTGGAGTCCAGGAAGCTGGGTAACCACTTCTCTTCTTTGTTAACTCTTCAGTATATTTTGCATAATTTGTGTGTAGCTTTATTTTATCATTAAACCATGAGCATTTTCCATATTGCTAAATGGTTGTTATAATTATCATTTTAATGGCTCCATTACATTCTATCAGATTTATTCCATTATAGTTTCCTTAGTCATTCCTTCTTTATTAGACATTTAGGTTTTATTTCCCTCAAATTTTGATTATTACATATAACATTGGCATAATTTACATTTTTATGCATATAGCTTCACTTTCCTTTTCAATCAGTTCATTAAGAATAGTTCCCTGAAGTGACATTATCATGTCAAATGTTATTGAGTAATTTCCCTAAAGGTATGAATCAATTTACATTCCAACAGACACTTTGATATCTAGCAGCCTTTGGCATAAAGGGAGGTCAGGAATATTGCAAACTTAAATATATATGCACTAATTTGCTGGGTGTAAATGGCACTTCTATTTAAAATAATGAAGCTGAACATTTCCCACATATGTTTATTTTAGTAATTATTTTGTATTTTATTCTAGCCTTTATGCTACTTAAACCTATGTTTCTTGAACTCTCTTTTGATCTTACTCATATTTAACAAATATTGTTTGGGAGGCAGGGATTATTACCATGTAAGACATTTGATTGTTACGGCAGTGAGGTATATTTACTGCTAGCATGAATAGCCACTCATATATTTTAGGAAATTTATTACAAAATGTCAAGGTAGAACACACAGTTGTCTCATCCACCTTGACTGTCATGGCTCTTATTCTCCTTTTTTGTAGAGGTTGAACAAGCTAAAAGTTTCTATTACAGACTGTTAAAAATCTGGGAGTGGCTCTATGACACAGTTCTGGTGAGTGAAATGTAAGCAAGAACATTTTGGAGAATTCTCCCTCATTATTTTCTTTTCTTTCCCTTTGAATGATGCAGTAGATGAAATTACATCAGTCATTTTTCAATCATAAGAAAATCGAAAGGAAGACAGATGATATACCCATGATTTTGAGGTGTTGAAATAATGCTATGAATCTTCTACCATGCCCTACATTTATGTAATATGCAAAGGAAAATTTTACTTGCTTAAGGGAATATAGCCAGAGTTTGTTTTTGTCTCTGGGGTGGTTAATGAACTATTAGGGAGAAAAGTTGGTTTTCTATTTTACTGGTTCTCAATTTTAACTAATGTAATTCCAGCTTTATTTATATACTCACTACTGTGAGACCACCATGTAACCAATTTAGAGGTTGTGCATGATAACTCACACATCATTCCCAGAGAGAAGTGGTTCTTCTTGATCAAAAATAAGCAAATTTTAATGTTCATGAGTTGTGAAAGTGGGAGAACATTATTTGAAGGCACTCATGAATTCTCCACTGAGAGAAATCAAGGTCCATGTGACAAGTGCAGTGTGTGCCTAAGGGACAGTCTGCAAGGTTTCTCCACATTCACTCAGGAAGGGGCCTTGCATGTTCATTTATTAGGCATTGACAGTGCACTACGGATGGGTGTGTGTTCAAGTAAGAAAGAGATGCTACTCAATCTTTCCCCTTGCAAGTTTATTTCCACACCAGGACTTGAATGTGAGAAAGAGATCATTTATATAAGCAAATATTGTTAATACTGTGTAAGAGAGAAAATAAAAAGAAACTGGGAAAGAAAAATCAATAGGAGAGGGCAAAATGAAACTGCAGTCTCGCCCAAGTCTTCTCAGCCAATAAAGTGATATGAGTTCCTTTAGGAGTTTTCTGAACTAGTGTTTTTATGATGCCAAGTGCTGCCTGGAATAAGTGGGGCTACACTGGGGATAGAAGCTATTTTCACATTATAAATGCTATCACTGTGCTGCTATCAATGTACTGGTGTGAAGCAGTGGCCCCTGGCCCATCAATACTGCACATGCAAGTAGATGGGTTTCTACAGTGCTTATCAAGATATTTGCCTAGCTAGAGGCTGCGATGTGTATGGAGCTCTCCCAGGTCCAGAATCCAGAAGCCTGGAGTTTTCCTTTTTTTTTTTCTTCTAGTAGACCTTCCTAGGTCTGATCACTGGATGGATGTGACCTTCACGTCCTTTCCTCTGACCCAGTCAGGTCATTCTCCAAGGAAGAAAAAAGTCTACACAAGACTGAGAAAAAAGTCAGACCTTAGAACTTTAGCACACAGAAAGGGACTCTGGGGTTTTTCGGTCTGTTTAAAAAGTGGTCTTTTTTTTTTTTTCTTCCTGTGAACTTGAGGAGGAAATAACAGCGATTTGTTCAACATCTGTCTTTCCCTTGTACTGTGGCTGTTTACAGAGGAACTTGTTTCCTTCAACTCTGATGTAATGTCTCCTTTCTTTAGGAAACAGGTGTCAAAACAAGCAGAAAATCCAATTTTCAAGCAGCTCAAATCAACTTGGGACTCTCTACTCCCAGGGAATGCTTTACCTCAGAAGACTCCTATGAGGCTTGAGGCCTCCCGATTTCTAGATTTGTTTGGTTTCCTCGGGATGTTTATAAGCTGTTCTGAACAATCATTCCTGCCCTGTCTCTGTCCTCTAGAACATAGCAGCACTGTTATTTGGATGGAAAATCCTAAACTTTAATTTTAACTGACATAATAATTGTACCTATTTTGGAGAACTGTGCTGTGTGCAAATAATCTCTAATGATTAAGCATTTTGTACCTGTGTATAATGTCTAATGATTAAGCAAAGTAATTATCATATCCATCACATCAAACATGTATCATTTTTTCTTGTGCTGGTGACATTTAAAATAATTTTTAGTTGTTTTGAAATATATAATAAACTGTTTACTATTTTATAATTGCATGTCGTAATTATAATGTTCTATATTACAATACATTGAGTGAAACCAGTTATTTTGTACAATTAGTATATCCTAGTAAAATGTTTGATATGATATATGCACTTTATTAAAATAATCAATTACTGATTTTTTTATTTAGATGAAACATGTAGGTCCCAGGGCTATTTTGAATTTCCATCACATGAAACCTCATTTCTAGGAAAAGAGAAAAAGAATCTGAGATAATTTCTATTTATATTGCAGGGACTCTGGAACACTTATCATCAGATATAAAAGTGACAGAATTTATAATACTGTAGATGTATTATACATTCCCTCTAGAGGGGAGGATGATGATCCCATTTTACAGATGAGGGAGTCAATGCTAATAAAGTTCCGGAACCCCACATGACACCATCAGAAAATAGTGAAATCAAGATTTAAATCCAATTCTGATTTGAATTTTGAAGAACACACTTTCTCCCTTGCTGTGTACCAGTCTGTGTTGTGTATAGAATTTCACATGCAGTGGTGGAGGCAGAATTCCCCTGCTGGTCTTTGTTACTTACTGGCTGTAGGACCTCGGATAAGTTCCTTGTTTTTTTTTTTTTTTTTTTGTATTTTTTTTTGTGTGTGTGTGTGTGTGTGTGTGTGTGTGTGTTTTATCTCCTTCTCTGCAGATTAGATAAAATAATTACTTTGTAGGACTTGGTGAGGAAATACCAACATCATTCTGTGAGTCTGTGAAATGTTCAGACCACTTACTGGCATCAAGATGCACAAAAGGTTTTGTTTCAATTGCTGTAAACTGCCCCACTCTCTACCACCCTCCCTTCCTCCTTCATAGAGAGGATTTGTGAGAGAGTTTTACTGCTGTACAGGCTAGTCTGGAACTCATAATCCTCGTAATCCTCCTGTAGTCAGACTCTCAAGTGATGGAAAGCAAGCATATCTCATCACACCTGGTCACTGTGCTCATCTCGACTTCATGGACTATACCTTAGAGTGCTAGGCTTGACTTTACTTTTTGTATTACTTTGGCACAGATAAAAAGATAATTTCAGGAAAATATGGTTCGTTTTGCAGTTCCAGTATTAATATGTGAAGGATGTTTCCCCTTCTTTACCATTATTTGATAAAATTAGGGTCAAATGATGTGACTCTTAAGATTATTTAATAATAAATCTTTGTCTCCACAGTAAATTCCTCTTCAAAATACAGATGGACACTTTGTGGATATCACTGCAATGGGGGTGGGGAGAGTAATTGGTCCTGTGCCACCCATGCCCTTAATCATCCTCTCAAGTTTGTTATCCTGTCAGGATGTCCATGCAACACAGGTTGAGAAAGTGACTGACAAACACTATTACTTCCCAATTTCTATGATAGACATGTGTCTAGAGTCCCTCTTCCTAATCTGAAAATGTCACTACTCAATTCCCACAGAGTAGTCACTGTTGATTGCTTTGTTTGACTGACAGGGTCTACAGTTTGGTACCAGTGAACTGGAGGAAATGGGAGCCATGTTCTGCTTGGGCCTCTTCATCTTGGAGCTGAAATCTGCAAGCTGTAGCCATGAGCTCTTGGCTCGAGCTACAACTCTACTGAATGCAGATGTTCTGGACCACTACCTCCAGCGGTAAGATGCTTACAAGGGAATCAGGGATGTCTCAGGTATATTCAGTACAAGTGTCCTGGTGAAACGGATCAATGGGTCCTTGACAGACAGAAAATAAGGATGAACTACCAAGCGAAGGTAGGTTCAACTGTACTGTGAGGGAAGCCAGACTTGGAGCTTCGCAGATACTGAAAATATGGAGGTTGCCACATGTACACACATGTGTAGATATAAAACTTCACATATTTATAAATATATATTATTATTCATTAATTATGATAATGTAGCTGAACCTTGGTGCCACAGACATACATGTACAGACTCTTCTCAAATTACATTCTTATATGTGTAACATTATCGAGCTGTTGCTCAATATAAAAATGGGGACGTGTCTTATTGACAATATATAGACAAGTGTTCCTTAAACTATATGATACTGGGTCAGAATATGATTTGTCATTGGTCAGGAGAAACTAACTCACATGGTGGGGAATGGCTAGATATACAAATGAGCTTTTTGATGCCCTTTCCTGGAGAAAAATATGTCAGTCTTGACCAGAATAAATTCAGGGACAAGAAGGGAAAAATAATGATATGCAAAAGAAGAGAGGACCAGGAGGCACCAGAAGTTCCAAAAGAGGCTAAGTCACAGTCTGTACTTTGAGCAATGGGACTGATGGGGGATTTACTGTATGCTGGTAGATGAGGAAACATATAACCATGCCCTTTGCCTCCAAAAGCAAAGGCAAAAGTGATAATTTGGGGAAGCCTCTTATTTCCAGCTAAATTTCATTAGTTTTCTGCATGTCACTATTAAATTGCTGTTTCACTGTGGCTTCTTACCAAATGGCCAGTCAGGCCTAAAAAGATCTAGTACTGTGCATTAATACAACTTTGGAAGGCTTCCATTTCTCTAGGACTTAATTATCTAACACAGTAATTAACTTGTTCATCACAGAGTAATATAGATCTTAGATGACAAAGACTTAAGCAAATCCAGACCCTGACCCCCTGGAGATACTGCCACCCTTTACTTTTGTTTGGGTCTTACAGTCACTTCCATCTGCCCCTGATCCCTTCAGTATGCCTCAGCATCCAAAGGTTTGACCTGTTTGACATTGTCTCAGAGTTTCCAGATTCCCCCTTCTGACAACAAGGGTATCCACTTGCCTCCACTTGTATTTCCACTCATCTTCTCACCCTTTCCTTTGCTGAGCAATATTAAGTGGGGGCATGGATTAATTATCTTCCTTACCTTTCTCTCCCCTTCCTCCTAAGCTGCTCGTTGAGGGAAGATTGAGCAGAACTGGCATTGCTTGATTTCCCTGAATTGATTGTGCCCGTCTGTTTGATCCAATGCAGTAAGGATTAGTTGCCTGTAAACGAGAACAAGAAGAAATCTATCAAAGAAATGTCTTTTCTAATTCAAGTCTAAAGAATTCAGTGTCAGGCTTCAAATACAATGGCTGCTATGTGGGTTGTCATAAGAAGGTAGCTGTCACACACACCTCATACCACTGACCATCAGTCTTCAGCTGCCACCAGCTCAAGGATGCTTAAGCTAGACCGTGCCCTTTGATCTCTGCCTCTTCTTAGACTGACTCAGCAACTTAAGGGCAGGATACCGGAACAAAGGATGTGATTAACATGCTTGTTTGGAATATATTTGAATTAAACTTGTTAGGTGTGTTTGGTAGATAAAGTAGAGAAATTGTTTCATACAGTTTTATATGTAATCAAAATATCTGTTACATTGTGAAGCCATTTATCAAAACAGACTTTGGTGCCTGCTCAAAGCGCGTCATGACTACATGGCTTGAGGAAAATTAGCCTGAAAGTTTCTTTACTTCAAAATATCCCAGGAAACAAATCTGTACTCACTAAAGTAGGACCAAAGGGCAACTAATGAAATAATCTGTTGGTGTGAAACCAGTGATAGGCTGTTTGAATTATACTTGGTTAGTTTTTATCTGGTGAATAGACTTAAATGAAGAAAAATCATAATCATATTTGATAAGATATTTGATTAAGTATTACTAAAACAACACACACAAACTGAGTTCATTTTATATTGACCAACTACTACTGGGCATGGGTCCTGCCCTGGAATGTGGTTCAAATATCAAGTATCACTCCCTTGGAGAAACTGATTTTCCCTTTATCAATTGCAAATGTCATCTCCAATAGGTGTGGGGTTTTATGTCCACTTCAATTTCTCAGTGCTGGGATTTTGTCTGGTTTGAAAAAAAATACAAAAAAGAAAAAAGAAAGAAAAAAAGAAATATGAGTATCAACAGACCAAATCCTAGGAATTCACCCAGCACCAAGATTTTATGCAAATGCCAAGCATACAATTAATGCTTGTCAACAGCTCTCCATATGTTTTGTTTTTATTTATAAAGTATCTTGTAAATGTATGAGTGTATGGTATACATGCATGTGCATGTAAGTATGCACACCATAATGTATGCAGAGGCCAGAGTACACTTGGTGTCCATTAAGACAGGGTCTCTGAATCCACTTGTCTGGCAACCAGGACCCTCCCATCTCTGTCCTCCACTGTTTTAACATTTTAGGCCATGCCTGTCTTTTTACATGGGCACTGGGGATTTGAACTCAAGTACAAGTGCAAGCACAGCAAATGTTCTTAGCCACTAAGCCATATCCCTAACCTCTCTTAGTGTATTTTAAAGAGATCTGTGCCAAACTTCCCACACCCTGTCTCTTCTTTGGATACACTAGTGTTTCCACTACCCTTTACAAAGATCTTGTTGTCATATTCTAAGAATGGAAAAAGGAAAGTATGCTCTTTTCCAAATGTTTGCCTCTAAGAAATGCAAGGATATGGCATTTGAGGCTCCAGCTTTCTCAAATACATTAACCCCTGGGGACTGACCTGCCTGGAAGAGAATGTGTGGCTGTACACATGGACACCGTGTTTTCTGACAATAGTTTTCATGCGTCATTTACCATAAAAACAATTAGAGTGCCATCAGATCCACAGAGCAGCTTGCTGTCTTTCAGTAGAGGAAAGGTAGAAACAGTGAAATAAAATGCATGCGCTCTTTGCTTTCTGTTTTCTTTATGTCCTCTTCCTTCCAGTTGCTCACTTTAAAAATGTCTGCTGACTCCTTAAAAGCATCTTTTGCTCTTCCTTCCTTCTCTCTTCCTTTCTCCTCCCTCTCAATCTTCTCCTGGAAATAACCCTGCACAGGGCAGGGAGGGATGCTGAGCCTCTCCCTCCGGAAGTGTCATTCATCCCCAGAGACAGGTCTTTTGCAAAGTCATTTCACAGTTTTGCCGAGTCAGCTGCTGTTCATCTGGATTTGTGTCCCTCCACTGCCTCTTGATCTTCTCAGCTGAGAGGCCCTATCTCCATGTGTCCCTCCATTAATAACAGAGCCACGCTCTGCACCTCAGCAGTTGCTCGGTAACTCATAGCTTCTTCAAACCACAGATGGCCTCTTTGGTCTGAATCTGCTTAGCACTTACCTGGACCAAATTTGCTTAGTTCTTTCTTTAATTTCATGGGACAACACTAACACCCAAGATCTTATGCAGACTGTAGAAAGAAAAATACCCCTTTCCTTTGTGTGTTTGTGTCTTTGTGTGAGAGTGGGTGTACTTCTTGCAGACCAGATAACGATCTCAGATATCATTAATCTGAAATGCCATCATACTATTTTGAAATATCATCTCTCATTGCCTGCAACTTACCAACCACACAAGCTAGGCTCACCAGTCAGCAGGCTCTAAGAATCCATCAACTCCTCCCCCCTCCCCCAACATATACAATTAGAGAATTATAAGTTTGTACCACCATTCCTGCATTTTATGTGGATTTTGGGAACTGAACTCAGGCTCTCTTGCTTGCGAGGCAAGCTTTTTTCCACCTGAGCCATCTCCTTAGCCCTAGGAAAAAAATGAATAATTAAGGAGAAATTGATTTTTATTTTTCAACTATAGTTTTATTATATAGATAGATGACTCAGCACTTAAAAGCATTGCTCCTGCAGAGGACCCAGGATCATTTGCCAGAACTTACATGGTGGCTCACAATGGCCTGTAATCTAGTTCCAAGAGATCTGAAGCCTTTTCTAGATTTTGTGGGTCCCTGCATGCATGTGGTACACATAAACACACACACACACACAAACACACACACACAGTATTTTTTTTTTAAAAAAAGAGGGAAAGTATGGTGTGGTGATACTGTGTTCCCCCAAATATTGTGCCAGAGTTCCATCCGGATCTCTGAATTTAAAGCCACACTGGAAACAGCCAGGCATGGTGACTCATGCCTTTAATCCCAGGAAGTAATGGCAGAAAGCAGAAAAGTATATACGGTATGAGGACCAGGAACTAGAGTGGTTAAGCTTTCAGGCTTTCGAGAAGCAGTTCAGCTGAGATCCATTCAGATGAGGACACAGAGGCTTCCAGTGTGAGGAAACAAGATCAGCTGAGAAATTGGCGAGGTGAGGCCTGTTCTGCTTCTCTGCTCTTCCAGCTTTAACCCAATACCTGGCTCCAGGTTTTTTTTTTTTTTTTTTTTTTTTTTGGTTTTTCGAGACAGGGTTTCTCTGTGTAGCTTTGCGCCTTTCCTGGAGCTCACTTGGTAGCCCAGGCTGGCCTCGATCTCACAGAGATCCGCCTGGCTCTGCCTCCCGAGTGCTGGGATTAAAGGCGTGCGCCACCAACGCCCAGCCAGGTTTGTTTTTATTAATAAGAATTTGTAAGATTCTTTGTACAATATAGTTTTTATTCTATGAATCAAAATACAGAATTTGGAAAACATAAAAACCACCCCACCCCTGCCTTTAGTCATCAAGATAACCTTTGTCAAAATACACAGTGAATATATTAAAAGACCATATAATTGCTTCCACATTTCCTACCATTATATCCTCTTCATCTTTCAGGCTTGGTGGTGCTGACATGTAACCCCAGCTACTTGGGAAGCTGAGAGAGGATAATAGAAAGTTCAAACCTACCTGGATTATAAAGGAAGTTAACAGCCAGCCTGAG